CCAGTTATACGTTCCATCTTTCGGTATCTAACATTCCTTACGAAAACATTGCGTAATGTGTCTATTCTATCTATTTATAATGTCACGTATGTTCCATTTCTCACGTACGTCTCGCTCGTATATTTCATTGTAACTCTACCCCCTAAATCGGCGCGACGTCAAAAGGCGCGCGCGCTACCTCTCTCGTCTCATATCTCGTCATAACACACGACTCATCCGAGTTCCTTCTGCCGTTCGAGAGATAAGCTCGAGTTCTGCCATTCGACCCGCGAGCTCGCGACGCCCGTTATCGGGCGACGACAGGGTGTCGATTGACGAATTCCGCGTACTTAACGGCGCGCAATGTAATCTCTCGCCGGAGGTGTCGATGTGCAAGCACTGGCTGGCGCTTATCGACGTCTCTCGATAAACTTGGTATCAATGCGCGTTCTGTGCCATTGTGATCGCGATTCCCGGATATAAGTATGCACGTGAACAGCTAAGGACAGCAGGGAACTGTACGCCATGAAAAGGCAAACATAACGGGTCGATTCTCTGTAACGCGACCTTTATTTATCTATAGAGAAATCGAGATTCTCTTCGTGATCTTTTATTTTTTTACGTATAGATGTAACGGCGATCTCTTGCGAATCTTACGGACGATGAACTGGTTTCGAATTTGCATCAGTCCTGTCTCACGTGTGTTCTATTTTGGAAGAATGTATAAAAAATTAGGATGGCGCGTTATAGTTCTTTTTCCTGCTAAATATTCAATTCGATCCAGGAAAGTAATTTCGCCCACAATGGTTTCGCGAATGTTTAAACGAATTTCCCTTCGTTAATAATATCCCATGTATCGAATTTAAACGACCTAATCTTACATTGTGATATATTATATGTATGTAGTACTTGATTCGCCCTTGAGTCAAGCTTGAGTGGAACTGTGAGTTTTCATCGGGATGAATCAGACGATATGCACATTCCATGAGAGATCGTATATCATATTAGGGTGATATTTCGCGCTTCTCCAGGATGGCGGAACTTAAAGCTTCTTCTATCGATCGATATCTTTAGACAATTATGTAATTCTTCAATCTCGTCTCCACGCACTTTATAGATTCGGAAGACGATCATAGAGGATCAAGATCGGTTCCGAGTCGAAATTTGATCAGCGGACGAGTCGGGACACATACACAAACACACGTATGCTCACATACACACACACACATACACACACAAACAAATGCACACAACGTACGCACACACTACACTGTACATTCGTGTAAAGCATAGCGAAGCCTTATTGAGAAAGCAATATTCATCCTTAAACCGCTTAAAGTATTTTCAAGCTGCTAATCTATCGAGCGATTTCTTCCTACGCTAGATAAAAAGGAAGAAGAGGAGACGCCTCCTTCGAGACGAACGGGAAGGCCTCGATGATCGCGGATCGGTTCCGCGATCGGCGACGGTCCAAACTCGCGCGAGAGGACTGGAAGCTGCGACCCACGGGGTAATGCGCGCGTTCGCGGATTTATCGCAAAAATGTTCCTTTCAATTCCCGATTGCTATAAAATAGAGCAACTTTGGTCCCCGAATTTTGATAATGCCGAGATATCACGCACGTCGAAATCAGAACATAAGACGTCTTAAAAACGTCTTAAAGATGTCTCGTTTCCTGCGACTTTGAACATGCGCTGTCCAAATCTAGGCATTTTGTTTTATTTGGGCCAAAGTTATCTCATTTTACAGTACAGTTATTGCGGACAACAATGCGCTGAGGTTGAAAAGCTCTCCTTGATTTTTCCGCGCATTTTTTGAAATTATTATATTGTCTCGCGAAAAAAACGAAACGAATTGTAGCGGAAATAAAAGACAAAGAGCACGCGTACAACTTTCTGAACCGTATACGGCGTGTTAGAATTGGATTGGAAGGACAAGTTTAATTACCGGGGCGTACTCTTCCGCGTTCGCGTAAACACGTGCGGAATTTCGTTGGCGCGTAAAAAGCGTTTCGAGACTGAAAAAGTTCGGGCCGTGCGTTCACTTGAACCTAAGGCACACACACTGAAATACATCTCCCCGCGAAAAATGAGGAAACAAAAAGGAACCGCGAGCCAAGTGAAAACTAAATTAAACTCTTACATAAGTCACCGGCGAGGTGAATGTGGTACCTGTAGAAATATCCGCGCGGGAAATGCTCGAGAGAAATTTCTCTTTTTTTTTTTACGCGATAGTCGCGATCGGAATTCGCGAGAGTTTTTCCGCGATAAGCCTGAACACGCGCTCTCTATCTGTCTCTCTTTCCTGCCCTGAGAGTGATCCGCGTGCAAACGCGATCCGCCGTAACGTTTATTAATCGATAATCGCTCTCCCGCGTCCGAGAGCCGGCACTTCTGGCCGCAAACGGGTGTGCGACAGGACTCTTTTTTTTTTTTTTTTACATTATTAAACGGCTGCGTCGCGTTCCGGAGAGGCAGCGAGACCAGCGTAATCTCCGGCTCGATGGAGAACGGTTATCACTTCGCACGCGCCATATATCGATCACACATCAGCCGTCTCGCGGATTAACCGCGACGGTCGTCGACGTCGTTACACCGTGGGTACAAATGGTACAGCTTCCCCGCGACTCCGCCCCCCCCCCGTCCCCGCTGTAAATACACCCCCGAGTTGTTCCCCGACGGTGGTAGACGGCCCGCATTCTCGCTGCGCTTTGCCGAGCGCGAAAGTCGCGGAAAGTGCACGCGAGGATTTTTTTCGAATAAAAGGGATTCCAAATTTAATTCGTTCGCGATCGAAACGATTCGTATCCGGCTCAGTTCTCGTCAAAATTTCATGGTGAATGAGCCGAATTTCATTTCTCGCACGTATCATGTGATAGACGCTAATCGCTAAACGATGGCTTAGTCCGTCGTTTTTTGTTTTATTGCAATTATAAAGTTAGTTAATATAAACTGTATTATATGTTTTTTTTTGCTTAAACTGTAAATTGTAAGATTTATTCAAAGGATATTATATTTAGACACCAACATTCGTTTTGGCCAAATATGGCCTTCTTTATGTGTATTTTTTCATCTATAAAATAAATAAATAGAGAAGTAAATAGAGAGAAGTAAACAAATATCTATAAATAAATAGAGGAAAAAGTTTCCTGTTTATTATTTATTTTTCTTACCCACTTTACATTGACTAGATGAAAAATGTACAAAACGGAGAATCGAGTCGGATCTGATTTCACCTTCTCGGATTTTAAAAATTCACCGTACACTGTTAGAGGGTTAAGAACGCGGCCGAGAATTCAGCAGACAGAAATGATTCGATATAAATATAATTTATTTTAATTTCAAATTGACATGCGCCGTGAGAATGCGGGGCGACACGCACACGCACACACACAACACGCGTTTATCGAAATTCGCATTCGTCGCCTATACTCGATTTTCTCTTTACTTAACGAGGATCCTTTATTAAGATGTGTATCATAGAGGCGAGTATGGCGCGGACGTGTCCCATTGATCTCGCGGCCTTCTTTTCGTCCGCTTTCCCGTGGAAGAGCCGATCCGATCGCGATCGGTCTGTGTAAATATTATTCGTCGCATTTGTGCGAGCACGAGGGAAAAGAAGGCGAGCGGGAAAGGCGCGTGGCGCTCGTGTTTTTCGGCATGGAAAGGACAAGCGAACGTACTCCGACTCGTCGAACCGAGCGGAAAGAGGGCTGTTCTCTTTCGAGGAAAAGAGGGAGTACCCCTCCGGGCCATAACATAGGTCATTAATAACATAATAATAATAGTAATAATAATATTAATAGGGATATTCCAGCGTTATTTTGTACATAAACAACTTTATCAACGGATATTAAGAGAAGTCATCAATAAATCTATATATAAAAAAAAAGAGAGAGATGCTGGGGTCTCTTATTCTATTTCCTCCATCTATCCCTCTTTTAATCCTAAAATTTTCAAAACCGTTCATAAACGTAATTATGTTAATCGCAGAATTTAATTGCTGAATTCTGAATATTTCAAATGATTTATTTTGCGCCGCTTATAAACCTGCGGTTTCGGACGCATCACGCAAACGTTGTTCACTGATAAGCAGGACCAAATATTTGTTGCCAGGATTGCCAGAGTCAATGTTCACATCTGTGTTTGGCGGTGCATTTAACGCTAGCTATGGCTACCTATATAATTCTGAGTTTCATATATCTAATATGGTAATCGTATTCAAACGTAAACACGAAGGGACTCAGACAGTTACATCTGGCATAACGCAGTTGCATTTGCGTAATACAAAAGATGATGGTGGATGGTAAACATACAATGCGAATCGGGCAGTCAGATTTTACGCTGAATGCGCGTTCAATGTATAGATCAGCACTTTACAAAGGAATCAAATTTCTGTTCCTCGTCATACGTGGTCTGAACTCAAGAACAAGGACGCGCCGTAAAATCCATTTGACGTGATTTGCGAACGAATACGTTACATTTTCCGCGTAAATAAATCCATGTGCGATGTCGTAAATGAGAAGTGGAGCGTCGCTCCATATTCCGTATAATTTTATTACGATGGAAAATCGTCGGGTTCCGGTAACGTCGAGTAAAGCTGTGTATGTACACGGCAATAATTTGCGTGGAAAAAGCATCATCCGATATAACTTTAAACATTGACTTTTATTAAAAGGATCCAATAACAACATAAATCCACACATATAACCCTAATTATATACAAAAGTTATAATTCTTAAATAATTATTATTTTGTAATTTAACACTTTGGGTAAACATACGCTTTGGTTTTAACATACGCGCGTATAAATAAAATTTTAAATACAAAAACATGTGATATACATATATCAATATAGATGTACACATACCCATATGTGTGATATTATGCATAACATACACAATACAAAAAATCGTATGTAGCCTTGGAATGTAAAAAATAATCGCATATAATTTCGAGAAACATATTGGAAATTAAATTAATTTCACTGTTAGATTTTTTAAGCATAAAAAAAATCATATTTTAAACGATGTGCTTAAAACGGTATAAATAATATTAAATAATATAAATTAAACAAATCATGTTCACGCTAGTTTTTCCCCTTGTTCTCCTTTTCTGTGATTAATAGAAAAATAACGTTACAAATTACATTTATTGGATTTGGTCAACGTTCTAGTACATTTGAGACTCTTCAGTCTCAAACAGCAATTATGACGCAAGTTACACACCATTTCGCGCAAACACATTACATCACAATTGTAATTGCATAATCACGATTCTAATAGTTCTTTTAGGGGTGACGCTTTCTAATTTTTTTTTGCCATCGCGATGCCCAGGCCTAGAATACCTGCAACACCGATAATAACACCTCCCGCGACAGCCATACCCATAAGGCCCTCTGCAAAAAAAAAGAAACAAACGGGATTCAATGCCAATTCCAGTCACGAAAATATTGATTAAGCTTCTTAGGTGAAGCAAGTTTAACATGTTAGTTGATGCGGTTAGTATAGCGAATCATTAAAAGGAGAACAATATGACATATGTATATACGATAGCATGATGTGGTATTAAATGGGTTTTTCATCTCGTCCGTATAAATTTTTATTACTTATTATACAGAATATACAGATGTGAAATACTAGAGACAGATGCATTGCAAAAAATACAAGCAATGATTATTAACAAAATAACCAAATCTATGCTAAAGCCTTTAATTTGTATATTGAGATATAAAATTAAATATCTACTATCAGAAAAAATTAGGAAAGTTAACAATCATAAAATTAAAAAAGATGAAAATCTTTAGAGAAGATTATGGAAGAGAGGTTATATACAATTACAAGATTGTGCTGCAAAAACATGCAGAAGATTAGCTATTTTTGCCAAAGTTTTGGATTAGTAAAGGACACAAAATCGTTAAGTGGAATCTATATAAAATTTAGCAATCCAAGAGAACAGAAAGATTAGCAGAAGCAACCAGAAATAGTACGATTGCGTAAGGAAATCACAGAAATCTCTCAGCGATATTGCTCCTAGATAAATTATAAGCTTTATTCTCTTAAGTCGATAAAAAATTATAAAAGGAAAACCTTTTTCCATCTTCTTCCTTATTAACGATTCCAAATGTTGCACTTGTACATTCGCAGGTTCAATCTGAAGGAATGCTCTGACGTACGAGAGTGCCTTGGAGTATTCCTGGAAGGATACATTAACGATCAATGATCGAGATCGCTTTGTAACAAAGTGCTTGATATATTAATTCATGATTTATATATTTTTACCTTTATTCTAGCATTTCCAATGGCCAAATAGTACAAGCAATCACGCCTCTCCGTATCGTGATTGTTATAAAGGTCCTCCAACAGCAATATTCCTTTCCTAATGTCTGCTGAATATTTGCTCCTCACAAGGCACCAGGCGTATTCGAATTGTGCTTTTTGCGTGACATACGACGAATGCAATTGCTCATGGTACACAGTTTCGAATTTCTAAAATGGAATCACGACAGTTGTCACAAAGTGATGCAACATTTGTGTACTTCGGATTACATTTCCCGATCGATGAGTCATCCCGACATCGTCTCGATCCGCAAGTGACGCAAATGTCAAATTAATTACGATCCGTTCGTGGAATAAAAAGAGTACGTGTACCTACGTTTTTTTAGAGAGAACGTTATGCACGTCATCGAGTATCCTCTTCGCTGATAAAATTATTAAAGTTCCGTAAAAATATATATTAAAATTCTACGCAAAGCGAATCGCCTGAATGCTTAAAAAAAATGACAGGAACAAAATTTATCGCGCAAATATACATAAATATAAATAGATTCGACGTAACCTAACCTAACTTTTCAAACGTACGTCGTTGTTGTTAGCTTATTCGAGGCGAGAGCAGGGACGGACAAGCGTGAGAAACGATGTCGGAATGAGAAGCGATATCGGCAATGTGAGAATTATTCTTCGGGCATATTTACCTTCAAATCCTCGGAAGAGACGACTTCGTTCAAAACGTCCTCCATTTCTTTTCCAGACTGACGCACGTAAGCGGCGCGCACTTTGCCCAACTTTGTCACATACACACGGACACACACACCGAGACGAGACGGTTGCGCTATGTTACGCGTGTAAAATTCCACCGCGATTCCCGATTCATGAAACGCGATTGCAGCAGATTCCAGGTGCGGGACTGCGAGATGACTTGACGCATTGCAAGAGGCGAGATACGCGAAATCTACTAGCTCGCCTCGCAGATGGCGCGATTTATGAATCTTACTGAAAAGAACGAAAATCTGCGGCATACAAAAAAATATCATTTTTTTGCCAAAAAAAAAATGATTACTCAATTCACTTTCTTTTTGTTAAGTAATAGTTACCTTTAACACAAAGTATTTTCCTGATAATAATCTTAAACTTTTATTATAAATTTTAGAAAACTCATTAATGTAAATAATAAAATAAATAAAAAAGTAATGGTTTAAATGAATAAAAATCAATCATAAAACAAAAGGCTACAAATCAATTAAAATATATTAAGGCTAATCCACTATAAAAACAAAATGTATTTTAACAAATGTTCGACCCCCACCCCCCCCCCCCGTACATGAAGTCATTAACGATCAATGTTACACAACAGACGATTAAAAATAATACAAAAATTTTGAAATCGGAAAATTGAAAAATCACGCCAAAATAGAAAGTCCGTTTTCACTCCATTATTGGTCTTTTAAATATTAACGACCATACGATTTGCGACAACTCAATTTTACTTTGCAAAATAGTTTAATTATAAGTTTCATGTGTTTTGATTTTTCACGATGCGAGGATCGTGTGACTGCCTGAGTATTGATGTATTATACCCGTCACTAGATCTGTTATTATTCACGATTTCACGGTTTAAAAGCAGGATAATCATAACTCTGGGCATCATCGTTGTATTGCAATAGTGCATTTAAATTAAGGACTGTTGATGCTATTTTACGAGAAGATTAAAATGAGTGTCAAAATTGTAAGAGCTTTTTGACACTGCTTGAAAATTATATCATTAACTCGTAAATGGCACCTGGGTGCGAATTCGCATCAGTAAAATTTTCAACTTGTGAGTATTTAATAAAATTGGTTTTGCTTAACACGCAATTTTAAATAAATAGCACTTTATATTTTTTGAAAATTCAATATAACCAATCGATTGATTGGTTAAAAAATTTTACATTGAAAAACATACGTTTTACTTTAATTCTGTTTTTAACTTTCAAAAGATAAAAACATTAAAAGTATCTGGTGCGAATTCGCACCCATCAGGTGTTCTCTTTACGGATATTCAAAAGGAACATGTTCTTTGCTGGTTAATGCTCCTTAAATTGGAATGGAAATGAGTTTTTTACATCGAGATGATTTTTCAACTTTCCATTTTGCGACTTAAACAATTCTATATTATTTTTAATCACCGATTGTTTGTAACATTGATAATGATCTCATTCACCTCATGCATAGGTCGAAACGTTTGTTAAAATACAATTTTGTTTTGGTCAATTTATATTAATGTATTTTAATTTTGATCCTTGTTTTATAATTGATTTTACTCATTTAAATGTGTACTCAAAACAAAAATTAATTTTCTTTTGAAGAGTATTTTATAAAATTCATCGAAACATTTTTATATAATAAGTAAATCAAATTTGTTTTAATTTAATAATCTTAATTTAATTATTAAACTTACCAGGAGATTCTCAGATTTGGTGCTTGTGATGAACATATGATAGATTTGCGGACAAATTAATTTTTTAAATACTTGGAACAAGTGATTATTATTTGTACTACAGTATATACTTTTCCATGTATAGCGTTTCACGCAAATTGCGTATTTCACAAATTCTTTCAATTTCGAAAAAGCGCTTTGACTAGCAAGTAAAATTACGAAAAACATTATAAAAACAAAAAATTTTAATGGGTCCAAAGACCCATATGTCCCTTTAATGTTATAAAAAATAAAATGTTCTTATTACAGTTAATTATATTTATTTATAATATAATCATATTTCAAAAGATAATTCTGAATCGGCACCTCTTATATTTATATCTCACTTCAATATATTTTCATATTGAAATTAAATGTGTTATACGATTTGAATATTCCTTTAAAAAAATGGAAATATTTTAAGAAAATATTCGTTCCAATGCTAGTATTTTTAAATATATTAAAGATATTTTTAAATATGTCGTTTTCTTAAATAGAGAATGGACATAATAATTTCACTAAAATATTTTTTTAGATAATGATAAATTAAAATAAAATTCAATTATTTTCAAAATGTGACGCTTGCAAACTTGAATGTCTTTTTTTACATTGCATTATAGTATGACTAAAACGGAGAAAGTTTAACCGAATGAATATATAGCTTATATGGTGGTTAATTTAATTACGATGCCAACGTGTGATTCGCTTTGTGTCTTTGACAGCGTACGATACGATTATGAATGTTAATGAGCGCAATATCAATATTAACGCGGGTTTAAATATATACCTATTAAGCCGCAACGTTCGGACTATTAAATACACAAATAGGGAAATTCATAAATTTATGAGGCTTTTAACGTAATAAAATTTATTCACGTAGAAACGACGGTACAATAGTTCAGGTACTGACGGGTATACAACGCAATATTCTACTAACTACACATTGGAGAACATTCGGTTGAGTTGCTTGGCCAACGAATACAGCGGTAGGCCCGTTATAGTGTAATAATCACCATCTATTCTTTCGATCAGGCAACCCCCTATACCCTGAAGACCATAGCCTCCTGCTTTATCCCTGAAATAACATCTTGCTTGAATGCAAAGACTAATTGTAACAATTGCAATGCAATATTAAATATTTAGAGTGTTTACTGAAATCTTGTGAAAGAATTTCCTGAGAATGCCTGGATTTTCAAGATATTTAGAGAATATTAACGCGACGGCCGAATTCTGGGATCATGCGATTTATAAAATATGCATATAATTTACGAAACACATTACTATATACTACTACATCAATATCGCATGCACATCTACACATAAATTTTTACGCAATTTTTTTTAGATCAAAGCTTCTAGGTTCATTTCTAGTGCAGTGATTGTTCTTTCGTGTAATCCAGGTGAAGATTATTTTATCAGTCGAACGCAATAATTTTTATACAATTTTTATATGTATTTATTTCTACAGACATTTTTGAAATTCTTTCTCTAGAATTAAATTAGATATTAATTAAAGTAGACATTAAAATAGATATCACAAGATATCTGTCTGAATTCTATATCCAAAATCGAAAATTGAAAAAGAATTGAAAAATTACAATCTCGTTACCGACTTCTGGCGTTGACCTGTGACAGCATATGCTTTATATGTATATTACATAAAAGTTTTAAACGTACAAAATATAAAACTTTTATATAAACCATATGCTATCAACGACAGAAGTCAATAATAAAATTGGAAATTTTCAGTTCTTTTTCGTTTTTCATAAAGAATCCGAATTGTGTTAATGTCTATTTTAATGTTTAATTTAATTCTGGAAAAGGATTTCCAATCTGTAAAAATAATACATACAAAAATTGGATATAAAAATTATTGCATTTGATTGATAAAACAGATGACGCTAGCATTTTCTTAAAGTTCCAGGTAAGATTAAAGAATTTTTAATTAATTGTTTGCAACTTTGAAATAAATTTAGAAAGTAAACAAATTGTATATTGTAATTTAGTAAAAGACTGGGATTCCACAAGACTATATTTATACAATTGAAGTTACGAAATCTATAAGATAAGAATACACTCAGAAAAATATTATTCTATTAAGAAAAATGATTACTCAATTTACTTTTTTTCTTTTAAGTAACGGTTATCTTTAATAAAGAATATGTTCTTGATAGTAATCATAAGATATATTGATGACATATTTTAGAAGAATTCATTAATACTCAAAGCAAGGATTTATTTTTTTTTAAGACTATAAAATTGATTAAAGAAACGACTTTATATAATAGGCATCCCGAATTTGTATTAATTTAATAATCTTGATTAAAGTATTACACTTGCTAAGATTCAGAATATATTTTGAATAAACTTAATACTTGTGATGAACTTGTAACAGATTTGCGAATATATGAATTTTTGAAATAAATAATTATTACTTACGTACAGTAATGTCTTAAGATGTTAACATGGCCCTTCATTGGTTTATGACATCTTAAGACGATTTTAAATATAAGAATCGACTCTAATGAATTTGGCTAGAGAGCCATATTTATATCTTAAGACATTATTTAAAACAATTTTATAATAAGAACAAATTATGAATATTGGCCTATGAGTGTGAGCTATTTTCTTCTACTGTGTATTATCTTTTACTGTCACCCTCACTTTTATATAAGAATTTACAAGAAGGCACATGGAAATGTACGTAAATGTATGCTTACTTAATGCTGATTATTTTTTTAAATTGTCCAGCAAATTGTTTTATCAAACAAATTGAAGAAATAATGAAACAATGTTTTAATAAAGATACGGAATTTAAATTTAAAATTCCCAAAATTTCTCTGAATGCTGATAAAATTCTATGACTATTCTTGACTTTCAAAGGTAAAAGAGAAATCCCCTGAAAATTTCAAGTTTTCCAGATTTTTGTAGTAAACACTCTGAATATTGCAATGCAGTATGGCAATGCATAAGCTACACTCACATAGGATCACCAGTTTTAATGTACTCTCTGATTTGTTTCTCCGATACATCTCCGAACTTTACTTTGGCAGACTCATAAAACTGGAGTTCGGTCTTTGGTGTTTTCAGACACACACCAGTGTAGACAACGTGTTGCTTATTCGCTAAGCTAAGAAAGATGCGTTGCATACTACGTATTACATTCAGATGAGTAATCCAGGGTAGGAGTTATTACCTGGACAACATCTGAAATGCTTCCACTTCGTTTCGAGGCTTTCCATAAATGACGTCGCCCATTGTCACCATGGTATCTGCTCCTATTATCAGAGACGGTGGCACCGGATCCCTTTTTAGACGTTCATACACTTCGAGTACTTTGTACTTGGCTATGTCTTGAACGTATTCCCCATGTCCCTTATACTTGCACCTGTCGAGCTTCTCATCGTAGAGGGACGGCATCACTTCTACGTTTATGCGCTGATGAACATTATTCACGTTAATACGATTAACAGCCTACCCGAACGATTATCGCACAATCATCCAGGTCCATCGTTTACATCTACAGAGCGCTTAAAAAAAAAAAGATTCTCTGCACGATTGTTTACCAATTGTCTCAATATGTCTTGCCGCCTCGGGGAACCGCTGGCCAAGATCGTCCTACCGCTTGCTAAGACTTGGGCAGTCGATTCCAACATCCTTCGCGACGTGCAACACAAAAATTCAGTGTTTATTGTTAATGACACCTGCTACAACGCAAAAAAACTCGCGAAACACACGTGGTGAGCAGAACGCGCGAACGTAAACACATTAACGGTACGGCCGGCGCCTGTCGGTAAACACGAACTGTTGCGAGCCGCTTTACATCTCGATGATGCCGCAGAGGACGCTGCAGTCAAAGGGAAAAGCGCACTTGCTCTTCAATAGGGGTTACTTTTTTTACTTTACTATACAGAATATCCTAAAATTTGCATATCAAAATATTACGATAATAAAATTTTCGAAAAATTAAGAAAAAGTGTTACACGTACATTTTTATTTTAGTAGTTTTTGAGATATAAAGATTTAAATATAATTACAATTTTATGTTTAGACAGCCACCCTGTCCATGAATCGCGCGTGCGGTATACTGAGAGAAAGGTTTATATATTTGTGGTATAGGTTTGTATATTTTATATTTAAAAATTTATATATTTGTGTGTGTGTGTGTGAGAAATATATTTATTTCACTGGAATAAAAATTTATTTAAATATTTAAAATACGGCGAAATAAAAATTTATTTCTAGCAATTTTTATTTTTTTACAATCAATAAGATATGTTTCACAGAAATGTATATTTCATCACAATCAAATTTTTTCATAACTAATAAATATCGGGAAAAAGTATCATAAGTAACATTTGCTTCGCAATACTTCAACATTTTTTTTTAACGCAATATCAATGAACGTCCACTTCAACGTTTAAACGCGTAGTCTGTATATCTAAACATAGTTCATAGTTGGCTATATTTGTATTCTTATTAATTCACAAACTATTGCTTAAAATAGAAATTTATAAATAACTTTTTTACTCATTTCTTTAAAAACTTCCTTACTGTAGTATTTTTATTCGCGAATTTCGGAAAGTCCTATACATATCGCTGCGTAAAGTATTTTAGTGGTCGGGGGGAATTTCGATATTAATTTTAATACACCTACTAGGTTTGTCAGTTCAAAGTTGAGGTACGTACAAATAACACAATATATATTCGAGTGTAATAAATTCCTGGAATATTTAAGTAATTATAATATACTTAAATATTGAAAGTTGAATTTGTTTATTAAAAGTATGCGTAGTATCTTTTTAAACATTCAATACCATCGTTCCAAAACTGTTGGAATTATATTATCGGAATTAATTTTGTATCAATTAATTTTATATCATGTTATTTAAAATTAATATTAATTTTATATTATATAATATCGAAATTTTAATTGCATTTTAAAACCATATTAATTATAAACAAAATAAATTTAAATAATAAATAAGATGTGTTTTAGATTGACAGAATTATTTCTCATCTCGTTTCAATGAATTAAAGTTTTAATATTCATTTTTTAACGCTCCATCTGCAATCTTTTTTGTTTAGCCAAACTCACACAGCACAAAGTCAATCGGGACATATAAGACATTTTGAAAACATCTTTATTACGTCTTTTACAGAGAATGTTTTTAAAATTTCTTTTAGACGTCTCTCTTTAGGCGTTTTAAGTCTCGTTTATTTTTTAATATGCAGATTATATTGTCTGCAAAATTTTTTTATTGTTCTATATTTTCAAAAAAAAATGAAAAATTTAGGGTTACTTCTCAACATCTCTATTACATTACCTAATAATTTCTAATTTAAATGTTATTTAATAAAAATTGAAATTCGAGAAAAAATAAGGAAGAAATTTCTGAATGAATTTTGCTTATACTGTAAAAGATTTAGATTGTAGGTGGAAGGTTAATAATCTTAAGTAGGAAAAGAAAGGAAGTGGCATCAAACATAAACATAAACACTTATAAATAATATCTATTTAAAGTGTTCATAAATAGAGCAATGTAACTCTAATTTGCTACTATTATTTATTCCATCGTTATCATTCACGTCCATCTTCCTTTCTTTATTCCTTTCTCCAAGACAAGATCAAAAACATTACTTCACTCGATTAGTATCTGAAAATTCGCATAAAAGATTGTTACGTCGATTGTTCGCAGATTGTATAGATACATATACGTAATATAATATATATGCACGCACATCGCATATCTAAATTATATATATATAGATTACAGATGTACATACATATAGTATATAATATAATATATGTAATATTCTTGTACTTAATTCGAAAGATAAACATGTGGTGTAATCTGGTGCACGTTTGAAAATATATCGGCGTTAGAAGGAGAACTCTTCTCCAGGCGCAACTCAAGCCAGACTCTAATACATCGTAATCGGTAAATTACGTAAATGCCGCATGCCATGAACGAACCTAAAGGTCAGTCAGTCCGAGGCCTTACATAATCGCAAGGCGAAAGGTTGACCCATCTTTGCGCCGCGCAGCCTTCCAGTTGAACAAAGATTTAGCGGCATTCTTTTTTTCGCATGTCACTCGCGGTCGTATCCTACCTTTAATCGATTAGTGATCTAATTGCTCGTAAGTATGAAAAGAAAACGTTGCAAGAGGTACTGCAACTTTGTTTTAGTAGATGTATAATCTTTTGAGATGAATAAATGTGAATAGCTATATGTGACATTTTAATTTTTAGCAGATTAATTTGCGATAACGTTTGTGAAATATGATACGGAGTTATTTAACAATCATTTATTCTCTCGTTGAGAGATAAATATATAGATAAATATAGATAGATATTATAGATGGATGGATGGAGGTGTTTATTAATATTCTAGGTCAAGCTTTCTAAAAACATAAAAAATGACAAATGAAAAAGAAAGTAAAAAATCGATAACAAAGAATACAAAATAAGACAACATGAAACAAAAATGAAAACAGTAAAAATGAAGAATTATGAAAATAATCGAAAAGGAATAACAGAGGAGAGAGAGAAGGGGGAGGGAGAAGGGGGGAGAGAGAGGGAGAGAGGGAGAGAGAGAGAGAGAGAGAGAATTTTGTTATAATTTTGCTGAAATAGCATTGCATCGAGTATCGACAGATTTGTTTAATTACATTTGTTTTCCGAAATTCGGTTTACACACCGTTCTGCTAGAATAAATATCCAACGATTATGTATTCGCAATTATTCGTTCGGTTGAAAATCAACAAACGTACACGTCCGTCTGCGGTAAACAATTCTTGTAAACAAGTAATCGCTTTAATTTAATATAATGCGAATACAAGCAAGTAATAACGGCAGGGTCAAGTTTACTAATGAGTGCACGTGGCGAGCGGCCTGTCGATGTTATTTATGAGATAATTGCTGCTTAGAGCCGAGCGAGGATGAAATATCACTTCGTTATCCCTTCGATCGGCGGGACTTCAGCTTGATCTGCAATAATTGACAATCGCGTTTATATAACCGGCATATCTAAAATCTCGGAAATGATGATCGACGCACGATGATGATTATCGCGTGATTATTTGTAAGTGCGATTATTTGTAGCTCGGTGTAATTATTAATTTTTTTAAGCTGACGCGGCGTATTGTCATATGTAAATGAAGTATAATTATAATTAGCTGATAAAAGAATAAAAATGTTTTAAAATTATAATGGCCAGGGACTTGAAGGATGGGAAAAACAATGTAAACGAAATCACGCGATGTTTACAATCTTCTTCTATAAATATTGAATAATTATTATGAAAATATTGTTTTGTGCAAAACCCTGTTAGATTCCGCCTCTTTACATTCTTGTCTCGAAGGATTAGAAAGGAGCACGCATTAGGATTATTACTTCGATAAATAACTTGCGATAAATAACGTATATCTTTTCTACGCTGTTAATGGAAATGTAAACTAAAAAAAAAATAAAATTATATATATATATCAAATTATTATATCCTCAACACGTTTATCTATGTATTTGTAAAGTAGTGCTTCGTTAATGATGGTTGTTCACTAAGCAATCAACTTTTCCAGGTAAATCCTTGTTCCTGGACATTAAACGCTTAATTAATTAAAGTTTCGGATAAAAATTCGGTCGATGGGGAATATAATAAGCGAGAGGGGCAGTGAATCAAATCGCAGGTGTTAGAAAGGAGAAACACAAAATACATAATTCACTTGCATGCAAAGTGCATCAGATATTAATGCCGAAGCTATAAGCTGTAAACAGGATATCACAAACCAGTTATTAAAAGCACCTTACGCGGTTGTACCTCTTCTCGCTTTTCGATCAAGTCGCCTCGGCGTGGATAAAGCGAGGGCTGGCATGTTTATTTATACATATGTATCTCGGCCGACATTCATGAAATATCCGATCCGGTTCAACCCTCGCGTGGCAGGTGTACGCGATGTACACCGAATATCACCGAGGATTACGTCATTGGGGTAACTCACACGAAGGACGTTTAACGAATGTCCAAGAGCGGTCAAATAAATCGAATAATCTGGGACGAAGTAGTTTATGAGAACTCGGCGGAACATGTACCAGTTTCTTAAACGCAAATTTCTCTCTCGATTTACCGTATAATCTTAGCGATCTATCTTATGAGAAGTTTTTATCCTAATAATTTAAAATGCAAGCAACATGAAGCGTGAATCAACATCTTTAATTAACTTCATATATCAGATGTTTGAAGAAATGCAGCCTTGGCCATAAGTAAATAAGTAAATAAATAAAGCAATCCCCCACAAATTGACGTAAACGTGCTACTGTTTGAACGAAAAAATAAATTAAAAACAGTTTTGTTAAAAAACAATATTTATTTTTTAAATAATTTCAATATTTTATTAGCTCTCTAAGAGAGAATTAACAATTTTTCAATAAAACTGCTTTTTAATTTCTTTTTCTTTAAAATAGAACGTTTACGTCAATTTCTCCTTTAGCTTTTATTACCGTTTTTTTTCCAAGAAAATATAATAAATCGAGGGTGCAACTTTATACTTATAGTCAAGGCCGTATGTTGATTAAAAAATGTTCTAATTTTAATCGACCGATTTAAAATTCATTCTATGAAATAATCTCAAAGTTTTGTCGCAGAATATGACATACGCTTTTCAACGTTCTTCAGAAAATTTTAAACAACATCCAGCTAGCATATGATAAATTATCATATGAATTGGTGCATAAATAACTTGTGGGAGGATTCACACGTATGGCTGAGATACGTGCCTGTCTAAGCAGTAAAATTAACGAGTTGG